CCTAGGGCCCGTGTTGCGATTGTCTGGTAACTTTCTTGCACTTCATTAGGAGCTGAGTTCAAAGGACGAGCCGTCAGAACATCCGCCAAAGGGATTTCTGGGCGATCATCCTCGCTATCCGCGAGGTCGCAAAACCGTCAATCTGGGAAAATTAAGATATTGTTAGCATGGAGGTCGACTTCCTTTAAATAAATACCAGGAGGGTAAAAGAAAAAAAAAGTGGGGAAGGGGGGGGGGGGGGGGAAGAGGGAAACGAGAGAAAGAAGTTATACCGTCGTAAAATTCGTCCTCGGATTCATAATCAGCCAACTGCTCGAAGTTGACTTTGTAGCGGAGAACAGCTCCGATACCACCAAAGCCCTTTACAAACTGGTTTCCTTCGCTGGACCGGTCAGAAACAAACTCCAGGGTAGCACCAAAATCTTTGTAATGCTCGGCAAGCCATTCGAGGAACGGGCTCTGGTCGACGATTTCCATTTCCTGCCCGGTTTCCTTGTCCATAAACATTTCGCGGTTGGCTTCTTGGGCCTTGGTGGTGTGGAGAATAACCTCTGAGCCAGTGTTCGCCTTGAGAACCCATCGCGTAATGTCCAAGTTTTCGTAAACGATCAACGTTTCTGCTGCGCCTAGTTCTAAGGCTTTGAGAGTATCGTCCACACCGTAGCAGACTCTTCCGCTATCCTGACTGATTTCCTCGAAATATTTACCGATGAGCTTCTTCTCCTGGATGAATTTGACATTGCCAAGGGTCTCGGAGGCAAGTTCAATGGCTTGGTTGAAGCCATTCTCACCACCATAAGAAACATCAACAACCTTGATAACCTTCGATTGAAGGCGGTTATCAAACATGTCGGACTGGTTGAGGTCGTTCTTGAAATCAGCGGATCCGGCAAGGATGATACCGGCAACATTGACTTTGTCGTTGGTGATGAAATTCTGCACTGCTAATTCGGCAACCTTGCGGACATAGTTGTGGCGCTTTTCTTCTCGAAGACGGGCGAAACGCAGAGCAGACTGACCACCACGGCCATGCTTCTTAGGCAGATCGACGGAGAACTTGTGGACGACGTCTCTTGTGTTTCCACTTAGGGTTCCAAAAAGAGCACCGTTCCCATCCATGATAATGAATCCGAACTTCTGGTCAGACTCGAGTAGTTCGCTGAGGGCTTCGGTATGAAATTTATTATCGCAAAGGTAGAGTGACGTATTGATGGGCTTGAAAGGCTCAAAATCGATGTTGATTTTCCGTTCCTTTCCCTCAGAGGTGATGATTTCACCACAGTAGATAACAAGTCCATTTGGAGGGACTTTAGTGTATAGCTTGAGGCGCTGTTGCGTCGAGGTGATGGCCGACAGGACAGAGAGACGGTTAACTCGAGATTTGATATTGGAAGCAGTGCCCTGTGACGCGAATTAAAGATTAATATGCAATTCCTAACCCGCGCCGCTGGCAAAAATCAAGATAATGGTCGCCTCTGTGGAGAAGTAACACATACAAATTCTTCCGCCAACATCTTGGCAGCTCGTGAAACCTGATCCTTAGGCGCTATTAGGCAGGACAAGGTGAGTCAGTCCGAGGGTGGAAATAGTCGGGCAAAGCCTCACGTGGGTAGGGTTGTAGATTAGAACTGAGGCTTACGGATAATCAACGAGATCATGGACGTTCCATTTCCACGAGCTGCCTCGAGACGCTTGATCAGCTTTTTGACCTTCCATATCTCGATGTTCTTCTCCGCGTCGTTCGCCTGAGCCGCGCTCATAGTGGGCGACCTTGGATGTGCGAACGGGGGGGTACGACTGATATAAAGAGCACGCTGAGCGCATGGGCTGATTAGCAGCTATTTTGAGGACGGATAGACGACGTATATAGAGTGGGTAATGAGGGCAGAAGAACTCACCTCTGAGCCGGTCGACTTGTCTTGGTGGGCGGAGGATGAACAATTTTCTGCAGACGATTGTGGGGGAAGGAAGTTGGCTGGCAGGTGATGACATAAGCAGGCTTCTCCGCAGCCACGTCAAGCACTCCGCCGACGACGGATTGGAGATTTACAATGTTATTTATTCGATGGCAGGCTGAGTTGGCTTCTGAGGGGAGGTATGTTTCTTATGACCTATATCCGTCTTTGAGTGTGGCTCATTTTGTGGTCCAAAATGGAAAAGTTCGTCTAAATATTTTAACCCATCACATTATCCCATGGGAGAAAATATAAGAAATAAAATCCGCCTAGGGCTAGGAACTTCCTCAGCGAATAATTTATGAAATACACGGTAGTTAACTAACTAAATAGTGCTTGGATATTGCCTAATCTTTGGACAATTGCTAAACTACCATAGTACGCCTCTCTTCGTTCGTTGGTTCCACGACAGTTGTCCAGGGATAATCAATCAGCCCTACCTGGCGAACATAATTCGATCAACGAATACGGGAAATATATGAATACATTCAATTCAGGCTCTTAAATACCGTATAAATAGAAGCACATTCCTCTCTAACAAGCCAAATCGCCCGTCTAATGCGGCAATCAAAAGTATATAGCAGTGGATCGTCATGAAGAGGTTGAAGGAATACGAGTTTTATCCCAAACGGAGTTAGCTGCGAAACCCAGCGGGTACGGCTGCTGGTGGGTGTGAAAAGTATATAAGCCAGGAGATTCAGGACAGAGCTGCAAAAAGGAGACACATTCAAAGAAGCAAATCCAAAATTTAAATGATCAAAAAAGCATAGAAAGCAAACTCATCATCAAAACATTTTTCGGAAAAGTCTATAAATACACAAACCATCCTCCTCCCTCTCCTTCTCTGCCTCCTTTCCTCCTCAACATAACTACACATCCACCATATGACATCAGCCTCTCATCCACAAAAGTCCACCATGGGCCCCCAAGACAGTCTGCAGGGCCTGGACGTCCACGGTGCCTTCAGCGACACTGATGGCGTGATCACCACAACCATGAACGACCTCCCGGGCTACCGCGTGACTCGGGTTCTGGGCGCCGTCTACGGACTCACCGTGCAATCGCGCAACCTGGCCGCAGGACTAGGCATGGTGCTCAAATCCATCGGTGGTGGGGAATTGGGCATGTTCACAACAATGCTGTACCGCGCGCGCAACGAGGCCGTGTCCCGCATGGTGGGCGAGTGTTTGCAGAAGGGCGGAAATGCGATTATCGCGCTCCGATTTGATACGAGCGATCTGGGAGGGTTTGCGCAGGTGTGTTCGTATGGGACGGCGGTTGTTGTTGAGAGGATTGAGTAGGGCTGGTCTATTTATGTTCAGCGGGATAGCGGCGGCCAGTTTTTGGGGAGCATTTTCCAGAATAGTTGCTGGCTCCGCATTTGTCGTCTCAACTCTCAAGCCCGCGATGCATGCAGCCAGACAATGACGTAAATATTGTTGCTTCGCTGCGTTTTTTTCTGGCCGATGTCAACCGATTTTGCACGGGCGGATACTAGTATCAATCAACACAGCAAAGAAAAACTACTTGGTGGCGAG